TAAAAACTCATCCTAACTCCGCATCCCTTAGTCACAAGACCTATCTCATGATATTGACGAGTTGGTAGGTGTTCACTACACGTAAAACCCCCCTAACCCTACCCTAAAGCTAACCATAACCCAAAAGCCTATGTCACTGAGTAGCAAAAGGACCTTTCTGAGTAGCAAAATACTAATAACCATTACCCTAACCCTAACCCAAACACTAAGTAGCAGTCAACATACCTGACTATTCATGAGAAACGATAAGCTTTCCGTCAGCACGCCATCAATCAATATTCCCATTGTTGTATGCCGACTAGTTCCTTTACTCTAAGCCGCATAACATGTTAGATCAAAGATTAAAAAAGAGATAACTCCGCCTCAATAAGTCACGTGAGCCATTAAATGAAATTGACGAGTTGGAAGGTGTACATTTTAACAAATAAAAACTCATCCTAACTCCGCATCCCTTAGTCACAAGACCTATCTCATGACATTGACGAGTTGGTATGTGCTCACTACTCGTAAAAACTCCTTAACCCTAACCTTAACCCAAAAGCCCATGTCACTGCGTAGCAAAAAGACCTTTCTGAGTAGCAAATTACTAACAAACCATTACCCTAACCCTAACCCTAACCAACAGTCAACATACCTGACTAATAATGAGAAACGATAAGCATTCCGTCAGCATGGCATCAATCAATATTCCCATTGTTGTATGCTGACTAGTTCCTTAACTCTAAGCCGCAGAAGATGTTAGACCAAAGATTAAAAAGAGATAACCCCGCCTCACTAAATCACGTGAGCCATAAAATGACATTGACGAGTTGGAAGGTGTACAATTTTACAAATAAAAACTCATCCTAACTCCGCCTCCCTTAGTCATAAGACCTGTCTCATGATATTGAAGAGTAGGTATGTGCTCACTACTCCTAAAAAAACTCTTACCCTAACCCTAACCTTAATCCTAACCCAAAAACCCATGTCACTGAGTAGCAAAGGGACCTTTCTGAGTAGCAAAATACTAATAACCATTACCCTAACCCTAAGTAGCAGTCAACATACCTGACTAATAATGAGAAACGATAAGCATTCCGTCAGCACGCCATGAATCCATATTCCCGTTGTTGTATGCCGACTAGTTCCTTCACTCTAAGCTGGAGAACATATTAGACCAAAGATTTAAAAGATATAATTCCGCCTCCCTAAGTCACGTGAGCCATTAAATGACATTGATGATTTGGAAGGTGTACATTTTTACAAATAAAAACTCATCCTTACTCTGCCTCCCTTAGTCACAAGACCTATCTCATGACATTGACGAGTTGGTAGGTGCTCACTACTCGTAAAAAACCCCTAACCCTAACCCAAAAGCCCATGTCAATGAGTAGCAAAAGAACCTTTCTGAGTAGCAAATAACTAATAACCATTACCCTAACCCTAACCCTAAATAGCAGTCAACATACCTGACTAATAATGAGAAACGATAAGCATTCCGTCGGCACGCCATGAATCAATATTCCCATTGTTGTATACCGAATAGTTCCTTCACTCTAAGCCGGAGAACATGATAGACCTAAGATTAAAAAGAGATAATTCCGCCTCCCTAAATCACGTGTGCCATTAAATGACATTAACGAGTTGAAAGGTGTACATTTTAACAAATAAAAACTCATCCTAACTCGTACTCCCTTAGTCAAAAGACCTATCTCATGACATTGACGAGTTGGTAGGTGCCCAATACTTGTAAAAACCCCCTGTTGTTGCTGCTGTTGAATTGTTCCTGTTGTTTGGCTGTTCCTGTTTTTAGGTTTCTCCTGTTTTGGGTTGTTCTTGTTGTTGGCCTCTTCCTGTTGGGTTGTTCCTGTTGTATGTTGTTCTTGTTGTCGGATTGTTCCTGTTGTTTGGTTGTTCCTGTTTTTGCACTGTTCGAGTTGTTGGGCTGTTCCTGTTGTTTTTTTTCTTGTTATTGAGTAGTTCCTGTTGTGGGTTGTTCCTGTTGTTTGGTTGTCCCTGTTGTTGGGATGTTCCTGTTGTTGGGTTATTCCTGTTGTTTGTTCCTGTTATTGATTAGTTCCTGTTGTTCGGTTGTTCCTGTTGTTTGGTTGTTCCTGTTGTTGGGATGTTCCTGTTGTTGGGTTATTCCTGTTATTTGTTCCCGTTATTGATTAGTTCCTGTTGTTCGGTTGTTCCTGTTGTTTGGTTGTTCCTGTTGTTGGGATGTTCCTGTTGTTGGGTTATTCCTGTTGTTTGTTCCTATTATTGATTAGTTCCTGTTGTTCGGTTGTTCCTGCTTTTAGGTTGTTCTTGTTGTGGGTTGTGCCTTTTGTTTGGCTGTTCGTGTTGTTAGGTTTCTCCTGCTGTGGGTTATTCCCGTTGTTGGGTTGTTCCTGTTGTTAGGTTTTTCCTGTTGTGGATTGTTCCTGTTGTTGGACTGTTCGTGTTATCGGGTTGTTTCTGATGTTGGACTCTTCGTGTTGTTGGGATGTTCCTGTTGTTGGACTGATTTTGTTGTAGATTGTTCCTGTTGTAGGTTGTTCGTGTTGTTGGATTGTTCCTGTTGTTGGGTTATTCCTGTTGTTTGTTCCCGTTATTGATTAGTTCCTGTTGTTCGGTTGTTCCTGTTGTTTGCTTGTTCCTGTTGTTGGGATGTTCCTGTTGTTGGGTTATTCCTGTTGTTTGTTCCCGTTATTGATTAGTTTCTGTTGTTCGGTTGTTCCTGTTGTTTGGTTGTTCCTGTTGTTGGGATGTTCCTGTTGTTGGGTTATTCCTGTTGTTTGTTCCTATTATTGATTAGTTCCTGTTGTTCGGTTGTTCCTGCTTTTAGGTTGTTCTTGTTGTGGGTTGTGCCTTTTGTTTGGCTGTTCGTGTTGTTAGGTTTCTCCTGCTGTGGGTTATTCCCGTTGTTGGGTTGTTCCTGTTGTTAGGTTTTTCCTGTTGAGGGTTGTTCCTGTTGTTAGGTTTTTCCTGTTGTGGATTGTTCCTGTTGTTGGACTGTTCGTGTTATCGGGTTGTTTCTGATGTTGGACTCTTCGTGTTGTTGGGATGTTCCTGTTGTTGGACTGATTTTGTTGTAGATTGTTCCTGTTGTAGGTTGTTCGTGTTGTTGGATTGTTCCTGTTGTTGGGTTGTTCCTGCTGTTGGGTTTTCCCGTTGTTGGGTAGTTCCTGCTGTTGGGTTTTCCCGTTGTTGGGTTGTGCCTGCTCTTAGGTTTTTCTTGTTGTGGGTTGTTCCTGTTCTTGGGTTGTTACTGCTGTTTAACTGTTCCTGTTGTTTGGCCGTTCCAGTTGTAAGGTTTCTCCTGTTTTGGGTTGTTCCTGTTGTTGGTCTGTTTCTAATGTTAGATTTTTCCTGTTGTAGGTTGTTCTTGTTGTAGGATTGTTCCTGTTGTTTGGTTGTTCCTTTTGTTGGGATGTTCCTGTTGTTGGTTGTTCCTGTTGTTGAGTTAATCATGTTGTTGGGATGTTCATGTTGTTAGGCTGATTCTGTTGTTGAATTGTTCCTGTTGTTGAGCTGATTCTGTTGTTGGGTTGTTCCTGTTGTTGGGTAGTTCCTGTTGTCGAACTGTTTCTGCTGTTGGGTTGTTCCTGTTATGGGTTATTCCTGTTGTTGGGTTGTTTCTGTTGTGGGTTGTTCCTGTTAATGAGCTGTTTCTGTTGTTAGGTTGTTTCTGTTGTTGGGTTGTTCCTGTGTTTGGTTGTTTCTGTTGTTGGGTTGTTCCTGTTGTTGGGTTGTATCTGTTGTTTGGTTGTTCCTGTGTTTGGTTGTTTCTGTTGTTGGGTTGTTCCTGTGTTTAGTTGTTTCTGTTGTTGGGTTGTTCCTGTGTTTGGTGATTTTTTTTCTTACATTCTGACTGTTATTCACTGAGACGATCAACATATCTCGAGGCTGGGTTGACCTTGAATTCGTGCAAGTCGAACTAATTTACGCGCAGTACATTACTGCAATTACAAGGAGAGTAATTGTAGATCTAATCTGACCAACTTATATGTAACTGATATTCCTGAGAATCTGGTTAATAGAAAGATTTCAACTTGCGGAGTCTCAACTGTATTCACGTGACTAAACGTGATCGTAAAGCAAACAAAAAAGTCATGTGTCTTTCTATAGAATCTGAAAATTTTACATGTACATTTTTTCTTGATGACAGTGGTACTTCTGTTGATCCTAAATCAGTTTTGCTATCATATCCTTTTTCATTTAAAAACTCTTTTTTAAGTGGGAAATCGATTTCCCAAAGTGTCTTTTTCGATTTCACGATTTTATGCAATCGCGGTTGTCTAGTTTAGGCTACAAGGCTGGTACTTAATCTCACATTTTTCCATCAGTTCGTATCCGAGAGATTGTCGTTCATTTAAAATGTGGGTGATTAATTTATCATTAATAATTGGAATATTGCGAAATTAATGTACCGGCAAACATTACCAAATAGACAGAATTTTTTTTTTGCAATTTTTGATATATCACAACATTGAGTAAACAATATCAACCAATACACCAAATCTTTTTAATGGCATTGTTTGGTCAACCTCTGGTGCTTCTAATCTGTGACAATTAAAATTTTAAATATTTGTAGCTAATTGTGTTCTTGTCTTTCTTTTTCATATGAATAACTCTTTGTATTTGTTAATGTGCCATTATTATGATTGAGTATTAGTATATTTCTGAAATACATTTAAAGTCACAATGCAGTGACCATGTTCATTCACTTTATTCACATCATTGTGTAGTTATTTAGGTGACAGGATGGAGGATACAGTTTACAATATGTAACCACAGAATAACTTATTGATAGAAATTGAAAGCGATTACCTGGTGATTAGATAGACTAAATACAAAGAGCACTTCTCCACAGTATCAACACAGCCATTATCAGTCATCATTCAGGCTTATCTAACACTACTTTATTTACAGTCCAGCTCTAGTATATCTAAATATAGGCAGAATGATATCAGTTAACAAGGGTCAACATTCAAAGTAAATATAATCTGTCTACCATCACATTAACACAACCGAATATGGGTTCTCACCTGTCTTTCCCTAGGGTTACCCTGACAAAGGAGAAAATTGTCATTGTTACCGGTGCTAACACAGGTAGGTCCATGACACACATAATATACGATACAGTTCACTTATATAAACAACGACTCAAGTAATGTATCAAGGGTTTTAGATCTCTGCATGTTAATGTAACCCTGGTAAAATACTAGCCGCAATATACCACTCAGCTAGAGAGAACTTCTCTATAGCTCGATTGGTTGAGCGTGAGACTAGTAAGCCAGGGGTCCCGGGTTCGATTCCTAGCGAAGGCATTGAGCTGAAAAATGACCTCTGTTACATCAACATGGCCATTACAAATGAAGACAGGAAGATGGATACGATTTACATGCCGATTAAGACGCTTACTCTTCCGGAACAAATGGTTTTGTTCTCCGTTTATGTTTTACAGGAATCCCCATGTAAATCTTTCTTTGTTCATAGATTGACCTAGTTTTATTGACTGAGTTTTTGTATGATGTATTTGTATACAATATCTATTGTTAATTGTTGTGTATAAACCTTTTGGTAGATTTTATTTCCTGTATGTTACAAACCTAAATGTCCCATAGGCTCCTTACAACGTGTTCGCACTTCTACCCATTTTGTATTTGAATATTGTTACAATGACTGCAACCATTGAAAACTTCTGACCAACATACACGTATAACAAAATATGTTCCAAAATCAACATCAGATCTATTTTCCTCATACATTATACATCTTAGAGTATTTTGAAACATCTATAACCCAGCAAGTAGCATATGAGAGGAAAAGTATAGGTAGTTGCTCTCACGAAGAAGAGGTTCGTGTTATTTACAGTTTAAAAAACCAAGCATCCTTTGTATATTGATACTGTAACGTGCAACCCTGTCAACTATTTGTTATGAGGGTCAGAAACGTGAGAAAGTCTCAGATTACCTTGCTGGGAATCTATTTGAATCAGCTTGACGAATTGAGGGTCTACTGACGAAGCAAAATATATACAGATATGCATATGAATGGAATACACTATATTACACTTTGTACAGGTTAAAGGGACTAAAAATCACCAATGAATGAGTTCTGATTCTGTATACGCTTATTTAGCGTTATTAAAACAATTACTCGGGGTTTCCTACTCTTATGGTTTATAACTGCATGGATATTCAGTGCAAACCATACCGAGTTGCATGAAGGGACTTCTTTAGTTTGAACTAAGCAAGCAAACTATTGGGTTGAGCAACTTATCTCACTGTCGCATCGAACTAATCTACACGTAGTTCAAACTAGGCCTAGCGAACCAATTCACAGGAACCATATAGCGACTATCTCACTAAGGCAACTTTAATTACATCGGATGAGGCAATCTTTCAGGCCTATCACCAGTAAACACTATCAGTCCTCTGCTATTCTTTGCCTACATGCCATGTATAAATCGTATAAATATTGATATAGTTCTTATACGTCATCAATTTACGAATGTTACTATATAATGCGTGAAGCCTAGTGTGACGTCAGGTTTACAAATACATTTGTACATTGACGGTATAAAGGAAACCATAGATATAGAGCAACACAACTTTAAGTATTACGTCGAAATGTGTTGTTCTTTGTTTTTTGGGTACATTTTTACAATATTTGTCTGAATAATCAATCAATCGATAAAAAAAATACATATAAGTTTCCATTTAATCTCTGCTTTCCGAAACCATTGCAATATTTTGCATTTTATTGGTAGAATTGAAAAAAATCCTTACATTGATTGATTAAATGGTATATGAAATAAAATCAACATTTTTGATCTGATATGATCTACGTATATATCGGTTGAACATTGATTATTATTTTGCTAAATAAAACTAAATTCAAATCAAACAGGTATAGGATACGAAACAGCCAAATGGATAGCCATGATGGGAGCCACAGTCATATTGGGCTGTCGGTCGGAAGAGAAGGCAAGGGAGGTAAGCCTTAATACTATTTTCTCATTCATCCTTATTCAAAGTATATATCTGTTAAGTGTCTTCAAATAAAATAAGACAGCAATGGTAGCGGGGAAGAATTACTGAAAGTGTTTAGCTGATATGCTTTGAGCATTTTTAAAATTGCAACTACAGAATATTATAACTTATGTTTATTAATATCTTGTTTGTATTTAAGCGTCGTAAGAATGACTCGTAAATTAAATTTGATAAAGAAATTAATTGTCACCAGCATATTTGTGTATTTGTTTTATTCATTCCTAACTGAGGTTTGAGTTATTTTGTGGGTATGGTATCATAAATAAATATTTACCTAAGGTATTATTGTTGTCACAATTATAATATAATCTAAATGGATAATGATATATATACAGCCGTAACTCGGGCGAAATTTAAACTTCGACATAATTTACATATAACATAGCAACCAGAATATCGTCATATAAAATTATCATAATTTTATGTTTTTATCCTGTCTTAATTCACATAGGCGATGGCAAAGATAAATGCGGAATTCCAGGCAGAGAAAGACCTCAAAACACCAGGAGTGGTGGATTATCAAGAACTTAGCCTAGAGTTCATAAAATTGGACTGTGCAAGTCTCCAGTCAGTGATGGGTTTTGTCAAGACTTTCAAGGAATCTGGTCGACAATTACACGTTCTTGTGTGCAACGCTGGAATAGGCATGAGTAAACAGGGTGAATTATTTACATGTAATTTAAGGTAGTATTCTTAATATAGTTCTAATTCCTATTTTCAAGAGGCACATGTATGATTTATGTTTCATTTCTTATCATAGTGCTATGAATAAAATCGCAAATATTCTTCATTTTTGTTTTTACAGCATACACAGATGATGGGTATGAACTCATGTTTCAGGTAATTACACGTTTCAAAATATTCATCTTGTTTGTGAAAAACGCTATGAGCTTTATAATTTCTTCGATATAATTTTGATTGATCAATCAAAGGCAGTTTTATGACTGTACATAAAATTGAAATTATTATAATATGATCATCTTCATTGCGTAAAACAATTATTTGAAATATTTATTAAAAATTTTGTATGCGTGTGTTTTTGGAATTTTTTACTTCTTAAATTTACAGGTAAATTATTTGAGCCAATACCTGTTATCTGCTCATCTGTTGCCCATTATGAAGACTTCTGGAGAAGACTGTCGTATAGTACTTGTGTCTAGTGAGGTGCATCGTTACTCCGAACTTAAATTGGACAGAATACAGGGAAGACAGTATAATGAACGTAATTTTCGACGAACATTGTTCTACGGAAATTCGAAAGCATTCCAGGTACCTTATGGAATATTGTTTTTAAAAGTAATTTACAATGATCACGTTGCCTGTGACTTTATTTTAGTGTTATGATAACTAGATAATGTTATTTTTTATGTAACTATTGTTGAATTAAAAACAAAGCAAAGCATGACTGTTACGTGCGTTTCTATATAATAATCCATCCTGTTAACGGCAATAGTCGTAATGCAAAAAATAATCCAGAGTACAATTTGATTAACTCAAATGATCTGACCACATGGGGGCAATGTATAAGGTTTGCCTTCCGAAAGATAAGTAATTGAATTACAATTCAAATAATCTGCCATTCCAGGTCCGCCATTTCATTAACACGGGGTTTGAAGTGTCAATCTATAGTTTATTATTTAACAACCCAAGGAACTTATCACCTAATTTTTCCTTACATAGCAAGCTACTACCGACGTATGTACAGGTTAGCTGTTTATATACTGTGGCGCAAACAATAGATTAACAAGGAGCCACTCTACCGGTCTCATTTATGACTTCAGGTTTCGAAACTCAGTCGGGACATTTTAATTTAATCTTTTTTAAAATCTGTTTTATTTTTCAATTTTAATTTCATCTATATTCAGTCGTTTTCGAGTATATTTCAACTATGGTACATGTGAATACCAAATTATCTATAAAGAAATGTTTTTAAGAACAAAAGCATTTTTTACCCAGATTAGTGTTTCTCGTATTACAGGAACCCTATATTCGGATACTTTATTTTTTTAATATAGTTTTTAAACACGTATTACAGGTAAGCTCGTTATGATAAGAGAAAAAACAACAAGAAAATAGCAACATGCCGACATAATCATAATTCAATAAAACTAGGGCAAAATATGAACAAAAGAAAGATTTACACGGAGACAAAAGTACGAGAAGAATAAGACCAGGTGTACCGGAAGAGCAAGCGTCTTCTTTTTCATCGACGAAATCCGTCATGTAAATCTTGGTCAGTTCAATTAAGTAATGTCACGTTCTTATTGAGAACAAAGTATAAAACAATGGGACCAACAGGCAAACAAATGAGTATCAAACACATAAAACATCTCTCAATGCGATCACTATGACGATTGTAAAACTTCCCCATAATTTTGATCAATCAGTATCGTTTAAAACCCCATGTTACAAGCATGTCCGTCAGTTGACGACTTCTTCCACTAAAATCGTGATGATGGGATAAAAATATAAGGATGATAATAAGATAAAACAAAGAATTTAAGATATATAAAACATTTATATAAATAGAACTACAGATCAATTAAACCTTAACACAAAAAGGGTCATGTTTACTTACATCAGAAATAAGAACAATGCACCATTGAAAGCGAAGATTTTGATTTTTTGTTGAAGGTCATGCAGATGTTTAGTATGAACCGACGACTTCAAAATTCAAACGTCACAGTATCAAGTTTACATCCGGGTGTTGTGCAGACAGAAGTAACAAGAAACTTTAGTGATATGGGACCTTGGGCTCTTCTGTTCAGCATAGGGAAATTGATTGGTGAACATGAATTGATAAACTAAGTGTTTTAAAATGACTCTAGAGAGATGTTCCATTGATTTAATTTAAAATTCATTTTGATGACATTATATGCATAATAAACAGTTTAACCTTAGTTTTCATGGCAACAGAAATTCCGCGTATTTATATCCATTCTTAATATGTAAATAAAACAAAAATGGTCTTGTTCTACTTTAATGGAAAACATCATTTTCTAAATTTACCAATATACAATCACAAATTAGATATACAGTTTTATTTGTGAGATAGATGCTGTTGTATCTTTTATAGATATTTTCCCACTTCAGTCAAAATCAATTACATCATTCAAATAATATCTCAATTTTTATATAAAGAACTTTTTTTTTACTTGAAATCAACAAGATAAGATTGCAACAATGTGAACGGGAAGGCAAAACATTACAGATTACCACATTTGTTTCTGATTAATTTCCCTTTTTATCTTATAGGCGCGTCAAAAACTCCATATGAAGGAGCTGAGACCACAATCAATGCAGCCGTGAACCCGGCACTTCAAGACGTCCGTGATGTGTATTATAGTGACTGTAAACCCAACACTCCACACAGTAGAACTAGGTAAGTTAATCAAAATATGATGAAGAATGTTTTCATATATTCAGATACGCGATCCATGTTATACTATTGGTACTGTACACTAAGCCATAGTAAGTTAACGTACACTTCATCGTTAGAAACTGTATATAATGTTCGACGCTTCTGAGAGAACATTTCTTATGAAAAAGGATTGCAAAAATCAATGAAAATGTTTGCAAACACTAATCGACATTAAAGCAAAAAATGAAAAATAATATCTTCAGTGTTTATATTTCACTTAATTTCTATTTTTCTAACAATCGCTCTTCAAAATATTACATTTTGTATTTGCTTGTACTTTTTATTAATCGTAAGACCTATGAAAAGTGTAATGTTTACTTGAACTTCATAAGGTCATATATCAAATGTCAAACAAGGTGGCATGCATTTAAATTTCAATTCTAGTGCCCCACTTTTAACGATGATATATGAATCTGCGTTCCTTTTAACATTGGATACTATGACCGTGTGCCAGACTTATATAAAATATATCGAGATAACAGTATATGTAATTATTGTTTGTGATACTGATTAATACTTTACCTTGTTGACAAGATGTTTTATTGTACTTAGAAATAAGCAGAACCAGGAAACGTTATGGACATACACTCAAAACTGTCTTAAGGAAGGAGGTTTTCTTCCTGACGATATCATCAAGTGTTTGGACGGGGAATGAAGATTTCCTGCTGGACTATATATTATTGTATTAACGTGATAATATTGGAACAAGAAAGATACTTCGCGAGTTGGTTTATCGAGTATACACAGTGAAATCGCAACAAATACTGGTCTGAATGACACCCATGTACATACTGCAGTGTTAGTCCATGCAAGTGAGTTGGAAACCTTGTAAAGGTGGTGTTTTGATCTTCTGTACGCATCCACGCAAAAAAAAGTACTTCCCACAATTTTATTAGTATTAATTTATGGCTGGATCATTCTGGTAGAAGAGGAGACTGCTGTGTTACTATACCATAATTCAACAAAACTTACTTCCGTTCGGTAGTTATTGTCAAACCTTTCAAGACTTGTCCATGCACAAATTAATGACAGTATATGCAAATTCTGGCTAAGCTGGACATCATTTCATAACCGATGTTCTTTTTGTATTATAACTTAGTAACTGGGCAGCCATTTAATTACCAATTACCTCAGATACAGACAAGATGTTGTATAAATATGATTGATCTATTGAAAATAGAGTCTAACGAACTTGCCATGGTGGAAAGGTCTTCATGTTCGAATTTTAAAAGTGTTATTCTAGCAAAGTCAGCGATTTAATCATGATAGCATTTATCCAGTGAAATAATAGAAACGATCGAGATCTCAAGCGATGTTAATCGAAATATTGTGTTCAAATACTAAGATAATTGGTGAAGTTTTTCCGTATACTTATTTTTTTTATCAAAGATCCATTGTTATGAAAATTTCTATCACAATGCACTGAACTGTGGGAATAGTGAAATTTGACTGCTAATTGACAAGGGATGGAATTCTCCATACTATTCTACTTCACAGCTGACACTGTAAAAACCTTAGACAAATGTTCGAGCAATACCATTCAAACAACAAAAGAACTTTTTTCATGGACGTTTTATCTCTGTTTCATTAAATGTGTGTCTATATGATGTAATTATGTAGTATAGCATGGTACAGATTAAGCCAATAACTGTTTACCTATCCAGTAAGACATATGCAATAAAATTCTGAAAAGAAGTTGCAAGGTATTTGATTAAAGTGCTATATGCTCAATTGAAAATCATATTTATATTACATCCGATCAGAAAATAATACGAGAATAATGACATAAAAAACGTCTTTCTATACCGGAAAAATGAAAAGAGGGTGTAGAATGAACGACAAAATGACTTATAAAAACGTGAAACTCAACTAAGAGAAACATATTAAGACACGAAACCGAAACCGGTTATAGTCTAATTTTGTACTAAATTATCAGCTTTCTGGAAAGGTGTGTGTCTTCTGCTTCATTGATCAGTGACCATCTCAAAGAAAATTATAATCTACTTCAGGTAATGTCAGGTCCTCAAAGATACAAAATTCACAAAATACACACAAATTTAGAACTAGATATAGCCGAACCAAATAATGAATCAAATAACATTACAAAGCTGTTTGTCCTTGCACTCTTCAGTGACGATATGAGATTAAATTTTCAAACATATGACGCGTCTGCGGAAAATGTCAAAATTTAGATTGGGGCGCAAGGCGGTTATAATCAATAAATATTTTCTGCAGTTAATATTTTTTCAATACAGATCGATTGATTTTACACCCTTGTGATACTCGAATCATGTTTAAATCAAAATCATAAGTGTATTATATATTGCCTTATGGGTTGTTTGCAATAATAGGTCTGTTTATTAAGATTTTGTATTGGTCGGATTTATACTGACTTGGTTTATACAAAACTCACAGTGTCGTAACATATAAAAGAGGGACCTCCTTACCTTGTCCTGTTAGGTATTTATGACTATAACTGATCACTAGTAGATATGCATGTTAACTGATTTCAGTTGAATAAGATTACATAGTGTTTCTCGCAGCATCATTCAGTCTAATTGTTATCACCATATCTAGTGTCTGGTTAGATATGTGTGTTTACATCGACCCTTCCATCGCAATTCATTACATGTAAAATATATGCACATCTTATTTAACCATCTTGTACAACACACTTGAGAAACACGTGATTTATCATTACTTACAATCATTACAAATTGTGAAAAAGTTTCAGACTAACAGACTTAAACAGAAAGAAAACCTAAAATCAACGTTTTTTTTCCCTGTCATTCTATCAAATGCGAAAGAATGGTTCCGTGTGTCTATTTTTTGCATAACAGCGGATCTCGAACAGTTTTGCTATTCTGACAAGTTCATTTAACAAAATAGTCGCAAAATGTATCAACTACGTTCATCACATTACGATAACTGCGAACTCTTGCGAGATGTTTACTTAACATAGGGCAATGCTGTTGATTCTTAACTTTACGTACAAAGTGTACGAAATAACAATAAGACGACTAACCAACCATTTACTATCATCTACTACTCTGTTTAAATGTGTACAGTTCAGATATCAGGTACCCGAGGTCACAATGTAGATTACCAGTCACGTGTGGCAATACACTAGTGCAGTCGATTATGGGTGGCCACCTTTCTTTCCACAGGGTTACCCTGCCAAAGGAAAGAAGTGTTATAGTAAGTGGTGCTAACACAGGTAGGCGATATCAACGCGTTATTTCGAACTTTTTGATATCATTATTTTTCTGTAGATATCATACCAACTGATTTCAACATTATTTTATATTACTGCAAATATTGATAAAAAGGATTTATGAGAGGTAATTTTGCAATGAACGGGTTGAATCCTATTAGGATGGTGGAAATGCTGTTGAAATTTGTATTGATTGATCTGAATAAGTGTCAAACTCTTGTGATACATAAACAAAACTTTGTTTTGAAGTGTAAGAAAAAGTTCTCTCCAGTCTCAGATACGAACACATTGTACATCAAGTGAACCCCTACAGGTAAATTTGTAATACAATATTCGCCTTGCATGTGTAAGGAAAGTTTATTAAGATGGATAATTGATCTGCTTAATTTTTGTTATATCAATATGCTTCTTTCTGGTATAAAATGCAACAAAACGTTAGTGTAACATACACAAGTTACAGGTTTATATACTTGATTTATTTAATAATCCATGTCAGCTGTTTTCGTTGCAGAAAGGTCCTAACATAGAATAGTGAACACATTATATGTTTTTGCTCATAACATCTCGTAAAGATTGCTCTGTTTTTATAGGAGGTGTGCTGATAAGAGCAACATAGTTTTTATTTTAGTTAAATATAGTTACTTTCGTTTATCGAAATTATCCTTATTGGCGAGTTAACATGTTCCAAAATTTCAATCAATAGAATCATTATATCTTTATATTTTGTACCATACAGGTAAATAGTACAAATCGAATCTTTTATTTATTTGAGATTTTCAACTATTTGAGATCTAACAATGATATGGAGATATAGTATTTCCATTCTTGAAATTAGTGTATATCGGTATTATTAAGTCTATGAAAAAGAGCTATATATTCATAAGGGCATATGATACTTGTAAACAAAATATCAATGATCTCTCATACGGTATCAATATTACTAAACTCTTTAAATGTTTTTAGTAAAGTGTTCATGCATTTGATATTCGTGATAGTCTTATATTTACATATGCCTAATAATATATGTTAAACTGACAAGTAATGAGTATAGTTAATAGAGTACGTTGTTATCAGTGTTTAATAACCTTATATTTTAAGTACCCTTATTATCAATAAATCTAGTTGAATAACCGACAAGTTAGGTTACGTGATTAAGTGCACAATGATATTTCAAGCTGATCCATTCTTACAGATAAAACAGCGAATGGATTACTATATCTGTATGGTACGATAGAGACCCGTCTTAAGTTCTCGTTGCTGTGTAAAACCCGAGTAAAAAAGCTATTTATAATAGATAATACATATCAGAACCTTGACCTGTTATCAAATATTCCATAATTTTTTTCTGTGATAAACGTTTATTGCAGATTTCAGAATGTTTTGTATGCTTAAAGAATATCCTTGTTAAAAATCATTGTCATATCTTCTTCAGAGACATCTTCAGATTAGCTTCAGATCGCCCTTCTACTAGCCGATAAGAGCAAAACAATCCATCAGAGGATCAATTGAAGCTTATTTACAAGCCCATTATAATAAGAAATTACAAAGCAATTAAACTCAATAAGTATGCGTTATTTTTACAGGTATAGGATACGAAATAGCCTAATTGATAGCCACGGTCAAATTGGCCTGTTGGTTCGAGGAGAGGGCAAATGGGGTCAGATACCTAAATTACACTAAAATGAACAACATATTAAGGGTAAACAAAGACATGAAAATTAGAGAAACGAAACCATAGGGTTAAAAGTGTAGTAAACAGTTCCGTTAAAACAATCACTGAACGAGTAAATGCTTTGCAATAACTGACCATTATCGTGTAACATTCGTACAATTTTTTAATTGACAATATAAATTTTCGTTGCTTCATGGAAGAAATATTGATGATGTTATTTTCATTCATGTGTGAATGTCTGCAATTTCTATTTAAGAGTAATATATAAATCAAATAACAACATCCAAAATCATTATATTTTGACCAAATTTAGCACCAAAACTGCGATGAAAGAGATAAAATTCAGCTCACGTTTGATATCCTTCCTTTATTGTCAGGTTTGTTGTTTCCATGAAGATAATGCAGATGTTTAACCCTATGCAAGGTTATCTGCCCTTGCTTTAGATATTAGGCAGTATTATCTGTTTTGGTTATATTACTGAGTTGATGTTTATAATATTTAATTATTAAGCAGAATTATCTGTTTTAGTTATATGTTCTGACACACAGTCATTGATCTGTGGGGGACATATATTAAGGTCACTTTACTACGCTGTACTGCTGCTGCTGAGGCAGGTGCACAAACTGCGCAATAATTAATACCTAAAACGCTGACAAATGTTTATGTGACGTAATTTTGGAAAGTCTTTTGTTTACACTGGGAGACCGGACCTTGGCGTGTGTGGCCGAATTGAAGGCTTTGTATTTGTTTTCGACTGTTTTAGCTTCA